TATATGAGAAATTTCAGAAAAACTAACTACTGGAGAATAGCCTCTGAAGATAACATTATTTATTTACCTGTAAATCTAAGGAAATAGTCAGTAAAAGATTGAGATATTCTTAGAATGGAACTTAATGAAACTAAATATGCTTTTAGTTTAAACATTTTAAACAGTTTCTTTTCTATTTTTAAACTTCACACAGAAATAGCATCCCTCCAACCACCACTCTGGATCATTTTCACGAGAAGCTGCAGACGGCAACAGGGAGTTGCTTTGTGGATACAGCCTTCTGGGGAGGTGTAATTCCTAATAATCAGGTCGGCCACATGCAGTGGAACAGTTGAAACAAAGATAAACACATTGTCAGTCAGACTGTACTGAATTAGAACCAAAGACAAACAGCAGATGTCTCCTTACAGCTTGAACTGCGGCCCATGATCCAGGCTGGAGTAGCTGGCTTCAAATGTTTCCTCATCCATAGTGGTGTGGACGAGTTTCCCCATGTGTCTGACTCTGATCTACACACGGCCATGAAGCAGCTGCAAGGCACAGGAAGTGTCCTGCTGGTAACCTCCACAACATTTACTATACTTGAAAATAAAAGAGTAGAGTGTTTTAATTGAAATATATTTTGCTTTGTCTCCTCCTCCAGTTTCATGCAGAGGTAGATGTTGAGCAAACAACAGAGGAGACAGCTGGTAAGAATGATTTCACATATCCCACATATTTTTGCATAATTATTGCTTGCTAACTGTTCTGATGTGTTTTTATTATTTAAACAAGCTTAAATAATTTGAATATGCACAGAAAGAACAATGGTGGACAGCAACATTGTATTTTTTCTACAAACAATACAAACTCAGCTAATGTTTGGTCAAATGCAGTATCCAACATGTATTTGTATTTTCTAATGGTTATTTGGAATGTATGATAATATTAATATTTCAAAAAGATAGTTATAAGCACTTGGAAAACTATGCAATGGGGGGTTTCTTAAACAAAACAAATTCAAACACTTTATTTAAGGTATCTAAAATCAAGGTTTATAATACATGCTCTGGTTTGAATAAGCTCTTGAAGTCAGAGGTAAATTATTTACATTTATATATTATACAATTATCAACATATTATTCTTTTTCAGTCACACATACTCACCGAACCTTTTTCCATGTTAGACCCTTGTCAGTACTCCACTTTTCTGCAGTCCAGGCCAGATGTCATGGAGATAGAGGCCATTCGAACTGTCACAGAACTCTGCCTGCAGTACAAGTAAGAACATGTTGAGAAATATCCACAACACAATAGCAGATCACTCTGGAGAGGATTTGATTGCGTCTACCTCTCCCTGCTCCAGGGTGCGGTGCCATATCGTTCATTTGTCCTCTGCAAAGTGTCTGAAACTGATCCAGGAGGCGCGGCTGGCCGGGGCCCCGCTGACGGTGGAGACGACCCACCACTACCTCAGCCTGTGTGCTGAGAACATACCTGCAGGGGCCACGCAGTTCAAGTGCTGTCCTCCCATCAGAGGATTAGAGAACCAGGTAAAGGGAACAGGCTGCAGAGTGGATGAAAATATGAATACTGTGTTTTCACTGATCGATTGTGCCCCTTTAGGAGCAGTTGTGGTCAGCACTGAAAGCTGGGCAGATTGACATGGTGGTGTCTGATCACTCTCCCTGCACCCCTGATCTGAAGAAGCTGGATAGTGGAGACTTCACTCAGGCCTGGGGAGGAATTTCTTCACTGCAGTTTGGTAACTAGAATGACTCATTCCACTGCCAAGTCCCATTAAAGTCCATCAAGCTGCACCAAATTTCACACACTCATATATATCAATACCCTCAATGTGATTTGAAACACCTTATCTGTCAATGTTAAAGAAAGAGAAAACAAATCCTGGCTCTGCGCCCTGATCCATACTACCTCCTTCCACCAAGTTTCATGGTAATCCATCCTTTAGTTGTATTATCCTGCTTACAAGCATACAAATCAACCATGTAAAACTCAATCCAATGTAACATTAGACTTACATATATGCCACTGACACAGGACTGTGACTTTATATTGCACCTGTCACCCTAAATCTCGACCAAATCTGGATCAGCCATTTTTCAGATTGCCCAACTTCAAACTTCATTCAGCGTATTGGACATCCAGGACAAACACGAGCAAACACTACAGCAGATAAAGAGGAGGAGTCGCCACATAGACACTGGGGTCAAGCCATAAAATGACTGATGTGTGCTGACTGGCACTACTAAATCAAATATAAGCTACTACAAATAAAAATATAATAGTATCGTTTGACAATCATCAGAGCTTGTTCATTAGCTTCCCTAAATCCAATTTAGCAGTAGTCCATTAAGTAACTGCAGCTAAGTTTTATGCTATGACACCTTTGTCAAAAAACCTCTGGAAGAAAATGTTGCTGTTTTTAAAGCCACAAAGGCTGAGCGGTGTGTCAACTGTATTTTTTTTCACCAGCCCATGTTTGATGAAACATCCTCATGCCTCATCGTCTGTCTCAAAAGTACATGGTAAATGGAGTTTATCCATATAGCACTTTTCCAGTCTTATCGACCACTCAAAGAGATTTACAGTATGAGTTGGATTCACCCATTCACACACATTTAGACTGGAGGTGCTGGGGATTGAATCACCCCATGGACGACTTGCTCTACCTCATTAGTTTTGGCGCACCGGTGTCCCATGTTCTCTGAATAATTCATTATATTTCTCACTCCTAATGGAGAGTGATATGACACACATTAGTAAATAGAAGTCAGGTGATACTGCTTACTTAATTTCCTTTCGGGGATGAATAAAGTAATCTATCTATTTTACTAGTTTTAGTTTATAAATTTACACCATTAGTGCAAATTTTAATCCACCAATCTCCAGCTTTATGCTGCAAATCTAAACATGCTCTGGCATCAATGTGAAGTCTGCACGGATGCTGTCACAGAGCCATGACAGCCATGTTAATCACTGTCTGTGGAGCAGAGCCAGGATTTGTCTCTACTTGACAAATCCTCTCTGCTGCTCAGCTGAAGGCGACACAAGCAAACACTCACAAAACAAGACAGTTCTGTGAAGTATTACAGGAATAATATATGCACATTTTAGGGTGGATTACGTGTTCGCTCCTTCCTTCCTCCCCCGATAATCTGTTTCATAATCACCCACACTGGGCAAAGTTTGCAGGGAGGTAAATACGAGCTGTGTGCTAGTGTAGAGGGCGAAGGTCATTTACTGTTCTGACAGAGTGGACATGAGGAACACAGTGAAATACAGATCAGAATGATGACAGTACCTTGCATGATTGTACTTGTCAGGATTAATAAATGCAGGAGAGAAAAACATTCAGAGAGAACTGCATAACGCTTTTCATATTTGACTGGTGCTCACACAAGTATTTACAGGATTGTTTATCACTGTCAACATGTTCACCAGGTCTGCCTCTGTTCTGGAGTTCTGCCAGAAACAGAGGCTTCCAGCTGTGTGATGTGGCGAGGCTTCTCAGCCACAGAACAGCCCAGCTGTGCAGTCTTGACAGCCAGAAAGGCAGCCTGAGCCCCGGCTATGATGCCGACTTGGTTATATGGGACCCAGAGAGAGAATTTGAGGTAAGTATGAGTCTGTATCTTTTACCATCCCCTAATCCTCAATCAGATTTGTTTCATGGTCTGTTGTACTTCACAGATTCAAGAGGCAGGTATACATCATAAAAACAAGGTGAGTAAAACCATGATTTAATGAACAGTATGATGGAGCGAGCACAGATTGTTGATGGGTTGATGGTGTTTGTGCAGACAACTCCTTACCTTGGCACCACACTGCATGGCGTGGTGTGTGCCACCATCCTCAGAGGACGGCTGGTGTACAAAGAAGGCTCCTTCTGCCCCGAGCCTCTGGGCAAACACCTCCTCATCCCACAGAGGGAAACTCAAGCCCAGCTCTGAAGCGTTGTAATGACTGACCATCGTTTCTGTCACACCGATGAAACATTTCTCATTTGAGAAAGAACTGGGAACACCTGATGGTTTGATAGATTGTTAAAGGCATGGTTGTAACGTGTAATAATGTCAGAGTCACTATATATTAAAATGTCTACAATTGTCCATCTGAAGAAAGTTACTGAAACATCAGTAAAAGCGTAATTTGAACATGTTTGGCTTATTGTGTTAGTCATATTCTGAGAGTGTAAGTTTAGGGCACGTGGATCAAACTGAATTAAACATATTACAGCTGGAAAAAAAAAAGCATCCATCAATCCATCATTTTTCTTCTTCTCTTATTTCTCACACCCCCTGTATACACTCTTTATATATTCCAATGAGGCAAACTATTTATTCCTGTATTGTAATAATCACTTAATTTATACAATATAACAACAAACTATTGGTTATTCTTAATAAGCTGTAGATTATGTCTCTGAGTTTAGTGCATTGCTTCTCTGTATGACATGCTTTTCTTACTTCATAGTGACGTCATTATCCTAACATATAACCATAAATCATTTTTCAGTCTATATGAGCTTTAAAGGTCCAGTGTGTGGAATGTTGTGATATCTAATGTTAGAATTGCATGTTGCAGCTGAACAGCCCTCAGCTCACCCTCCCCTAAACATGAAAAAGAGCCTGTGGTAGCATAGAAACTCAAAAGGTGTTAGTTTGTTCAGTCTGGACTAATGTAAAAAACATGGTGGCCTCCGTAGAGAGGGTCCCCTCGATGTAAATATAAAGTATTTAAATATAAAGGGTCTTTTCTGGGGTAAAGAAAACTACAGTTCATACAATTTAGATGAAATGAACTAGTGAAAACATCATGAGGATTATTCTACATTAAATTTCTGCCAATAGTTCCCTTTCACCTAAATCTTACACACTGGACCTTTAAGTCATGAATGTAGTCCTATAGTGAATTTTGTTTTTGAATGATACAGTTAACCTCTCCCATTTTATTGATCGTCTGATCAATAGAAGTTTTAGACTGTCTCCCTCCATAGTCCAACTACTGTATTTGTGTGGGTACACACACACACACACACACACACACACACACACACACACACACACACACACACACAAAGACAGACAGACACACACACACACACACACACTAAAACTTGCATAAAATATTCATAAAAAATAAGGTGAACCATGAATTACTGGTGCCTCAACATGACTACAGACTGGATGTTCAGCCTGGAAAACCATCAAGATCAGTGTAATAATTGAACCTGGAGAGTTAGTAGTCAATATTTAACATTTGAGGACATTTTAACTTTCTTATCTGTAACGTTGGGGAAGAACCAAGGTACCCGAGCTCAGAAAGCAGCCAGTGTTGACAGAAGAGTGAGAGAATGTTGTGACAGACTTGTGACCTAAGGCCCTCACTGGTCAAACAGAGGGGTGTGCTCAGCCGAGGCTTTACTTCGCCTGTTTCCACGGCTCTTTGTGGTTTTACTGCTCGTGTCACATCGCTGGAAACATGTCGTCCAGCCCTGTACCTCCACCAAAGTGCCTACAGAAACCGCTGGTGGTTCCTTACCGTCACATGTTTGGACCAGGACCTTCCAACGTCCCCCCTCGTATCCTGCAGGCCGGGGCCAATCCTGTCATCGGACACATGCACCCAGAGATATTTCAGGTAACTCTGTATAAACAGTTCATAGAGAAGCAATAACTCAGTTTCAAAGACAGGTTAAAGTCACAATCTGTCTCCATCCTGAGTCACAGTAAAATGTAACATCTACTAGGAATTACATCAGATAGAAACAAAAGTATTGCACTTACACATTCATGCCACTACTGGTTCAACTACTTCTTTTGTTTCATATACCATTTCGCTTTTTACTCTAATACATCTAATATATGCATCTAGAAACCAGCAACTATTCACATTTAAGAGGCCTGAGAACCAGTTTTTCCAATTCCTTTCTTAAAAACGACTCATTATCCAGAACCATTTTCTGATCATGTGCTTTCTTACTACAAATTTGATTATACAAATTTAAAGGGTTGCAGCAAACCAGGGTTATGACTACACAGGCTGCTGCTTATTTAAGGCTACAGGGTGGAATAGTACAGATAATACATTTCTATCTATACCTTTCCTCACTAAAGATTTTTCATTTCACATTGCAGATAATGGATGACATCAAAAGTGGAATCCAGTACATTTTTCAGACTCAGAACCGTGTGACTTTAGCTGTGAGCGGCACTGGCCACACCGCCATGGAGTGTGCCATCTTCAACACAGTGGAGCCCGGGGAGAGTGTTCTGACGGCAGTAAATGGGATATGGGGAGAGCGAGCGGCAGACATGGCCGAGAGGATAGGTACTTTAAAATCATTATCAAATGATGGAATTCAAATCCTAAAAAAAAGTACAATCATGACAGAAGACCATGTGTGTCAATCCAACAGGTGCCAGAGTGAATACCATTGTAGCGCCTCCTGGGGGCTTCCTCACCAACGAAAACATTGAGCAGGTATTAGACCCCTCATTGACCCCTGTGGGTTTTTTGACAAGTCATTTCAGTACTATCAAAACAATTGATGCATCAATTAATTTATTAATAACCAATTTCTACTAATTTCCATTAAAGCTGGTTCAGAGTGCTCTTACTGTTATCTCATCACAGGCCTTAGCAAAGCACCGGCCCGCCCTGTTCTTCCTCGCACATGGAGAATCTTCCACAGGAGTCTTGCATCCTTTAGATGGAATCGGACAGCTGTGCCACAAGTGAGACACACCACTCACACATCTGTCTTCATCACATCTGTAACAAAGGATAAGCAGATGATAACAGATGTGTTATGACTTGTGTCCTCAGGTATAACTGCCTGTTTCTCGTAGACTCTGTGGCTTCAATTGGAGGAGCCCCTCTGCACATGGACCAGCAAGGTTTATTCTTGAATCCTTACAAATGTTTTCCAGGGGCACAACTGATGAAATCATTTTACATATTTGTACTGTGCTTCCTCACAATGTTTTTGTAAACGTCCATATTGACAGGGATAGACATCCTCTACACGGGCTCTCAGAAGGTACTAAATGCTCCACCGGGTACAGCGCCTATCTCCTTCAGTGAGAGAGCATGGTGAGATCTGTATACACCTACATACATATATACCTATAGATAAACGTCACATTAGTATTTTTAATGCTGAATTGTCCACAGCCAGAAAATATTCAACCGAAAGACAAAGCCAGTGTCATTCTTCCTGGATTTAAATTGGCTCGCAAACTACTGGGGATGTGATGGCAAGCCGTCAAGAGTGTGAGACATCTTTGTTTCCTGCAGACTGGATCTGATCACATTTCAAAAACTGGTTTCATCTTTAGCCGTACTTGCACAATTTCTGTTGATTGCTCTCTCTGCTTCATCTCCTCTCTATAGATATCACCACACAGGCCCAGTCACTGCTTTTTACTCTCTGAGGGAGAGCCTGGCTGTGCTTGCTGAAGAGGTGGGACATGTGCTTGAGAGTAATTGTTTGATTTTGCTTTGAGCCGCAACAGTTCTGCAGCCATTGAGCATTATAATATTGTACCTCTGTGCCAACAATATACTTTTGTCAGAACAAGGACGAAATATAAATTACCTACAGGAGCTTTTGCTTTGGTATGGACTGTAGCAACTTGTTGTTTTGATCCATGTTCGTATCACGGCTGCAGGGACACTAATTACATTGTGTTGGCTGGTCAGTCCAACAACAACTCAGATAGTTACACAACTAGTGCATGATATTTTGTAAATATATACACATTCCCCAGAGGATGGTTCCTCCTGACTCTAGTGATCTGCTGATCTGCACAATCATCAGGTCAAAAGGATTTGTTAAGTGCTTTAGTTTATGACCAGACACTATAAAACCTCAGTTGAGGTTATCATGCTAAACCAAGATGGTGAACATGGTAAACATTACAGCTGCTACACCTGTGTGTATTGTCTTCATGTATGTCAAACAAAAACCCTGATCAGTTCACTGGAAACTAGCGTAAAGTAAATGTAAGTATGATATAGGTAAATGGTTGTTATTGTATAATGTTTGTTCAAATGACATGTTTTGTTGATCGAAGGGTCTGGAGAGATCATGGGAAAGACACAAAGAAGTGGCGGAATACTTCCACACTGGCCTAGAAAGCATGGGTCTCCAACTTTTTGTCAAAGAAAAAGTGAGTCTTCAGTTTCACGACAACCGATTATTTGTTGTTGGTGGATTTCACACTCTCATTCAAGTCACTGTTATAACAATAAAACACCTCACCATGTCTGGATTCAATGGTTGTTACAGAAAGCAAGGCTGCCGACTGTCACCACCATTGTTGCTCCTCCTGGATATGACTGGAAAGAGATCACTACCTACGTAATGAAAACACATAATTTAGAAATTTCCGGAGGACTTGGACCATCAGTTGGCTTGGTAAATGATTATTTGTCTGTATGCTCACTTCTTGTTTTGTTTGCACACCAAGAAGTTGCTGGAAACGTGTGCGTGGCCTGAGTCTCAGATGTCTTTTGGTCTTTTCAGGTGTTACGTGTGGGACTGATGGGATGCAACAGCAGCAAGGCCCATGTTGACATGGTGCTGGCAGCACTGAAAGATGCTATGAAACACTGTCATGAGAACAAATTGTGAATCGTGATGGTGATGATGGTGCAGAGATGATCCTACAACAGTGTTACTGTTAAACTAGAGACTGTGTATTTGAAATAAATCATTACTCTCCTAAGTTGTCTTGTGCAGTTGAGTCATTATGTGAATGGGAACGTTTGGCTTTCCCTCATAGTGCTGTACTACCTCTGTACTACCTCTGTCATCCAAGTCTTTACCTGGTGCAACAGTCTAATGTAAACTTAAATTTACAAACCTGTTTGACAAAATTCTAATCTAAAGGGTTTATTAGATAGGGTTACATGTATCCTAACTAACTGCATTTTTATGCTAGATGTTTTTATGGATTCTTTCATTTTACAGATAATCTCAAACAGTTTTTGCACTTTTTTTTGTACTTCCTTAAAACTTCACTCCGTTCAAAAACGACACCCGTAAATACCCAGGAATATTAGCTGGTGAGGAATCAGAGCTTTGTGTGAGTGGTTCATATGTTTCTCATCTTGGTATTAGATCAACAAGAAAAGTGAAACCTTTCTACATTATTGTGTGTACTGTATGTGCACATGTCACACTGGTGATTTAAAATACACACATGAAATAGTGTTGAATCTTTCCCTTTGAATATTGGTGAAGAGAAACTGTTGCAGGAGAAGTAATAGTACTCAGCTCGCTTTACTTATAAATTGAAAGAAAATCATAAACTACTCCGATTTTTGCAAATTCAGTACTGTCATGACTATGCATTACAGATTCACTCATCTGAAAACATGCAGTTATCAATCTATCATATTAACATGGTGTGGATAAAGAAAGAATAAAACAAATAAAGGAAGATCTTTTATAAAGTTCGTTTACAGTTTAAATATGAAAGTCTTAGTCTATAAAGTTAAGTGTTCTAACTTAGTGGTGAATGACTCTATAGCCCTGACTGTTGGATCCGAATGTGTTCCTATGTGTGTCTTGACATATTTCAATAAAGTTACTACAGAAAAAAACAATAATACTCGAAGGCGGAAGTGCGTCAGCGCACTTCCTTGTTGTCAGTGGACTTCAGTAAAAGGCGGGTAAACGTGCAGCTCTGTCTGTGGTGATACTGGTGTTTACAGAGCCGCGTGTCGGTCCCCGTCTCCTCAGCTCAGCGCAGATACACAGTGCCGCGTCATGGCGTGTAAGAGAGGGGCTCTCATCGTGCTGGAGGGGGTGGACAAGGCCGGGAAGACCACCCAGTGCCAGAAGCTGCTGCAGGCGCTGCAACAGAGCGGTCGGCCGGTGGAGTTGATGTGCTTCCCCGGTAAGTCGTGACCTCACTATGCAGGGGTTTGACATTATCGTTCATTCGCTAACGTGGGGGCACCGTGGTGTGACTGCGTGGTTACAGACAGGACCACGGCCATCGGGAAGCTGATCAGCGCCTACCTGGAGAGGAAGAGCGACCTGGAGGACCACACGGTCCACCTGCTGTTCTCTGCCAACCGCTGGGAGATGGTGTAAGACTCAGACCTCGCGCCCTCACACTGAGCAGTCACTCTGATGACTGGCCGTATTCACTGTACACGTGTAGGTTACGTTCTAGTATCATCACGGCAGCTATAGGGAGGTGGAACCATCACCTGAGCACTTCCTGTCCTGACAACTGATGATGTCAGCTGTGCAAACATAGGGCCAGTGACGGAGAAGTGCCGCGTCAGAGCGCAGTGCCATTACGCACGGCCCTTCACTGTGTTTTCCCCCAATAAATCGCCTGCAAACTATATCAAGCTAACCATACAGTGTCTTGGACCCTTCCTTGTGTACGGGTGGAGATTGTACACGGGGTGTTGTTGGCTCTCCTGTGAGGTTGAAGACATGCTGAGGTTGGCCTGATAAACAGCTGCCTGTTGTAGTAGGTCTGCCAGGATTAAAAAGGGAGCGAACTTCCTTGTCAGTTGAACGGTATTGGGCAGGAGTATCGGGGGGATTTTGGGCCGTACACACATTCGCCAGTGTGTTACTGATGTCCTCATAGTTTAATATTGCTGCAACGAGATTGTGAGCGGACTAACTCATTGTCACTCACTTTTAGCTAAAGCATCCACACGTTACACAAGATGGTCACAGGCACTGCGGTGAAGTCTGACGTCAGTCAAGTTTCATTCCATATATTCAGACTTCATTCCATATATTCAGAATTCATTCAGTATATTCAAAGTTTCATTCAATATATTCAAGGTTCATTCCATATATTCAAAGTTTCATTCAATATATTCAAAGGTTTAATTTCCTGAACGGCATGCCATAATAAATATAAATATATATAAATAAACCTAATCCCTCTGAAGACACATTAGGGCTGCAGTCAGAAAGTCCAAATAATATCCTTTCCTAACCACTGGTCCATGACTCTGTGACGTATCCATCAAGATTCCAGTAAGAAGAATAATGGTGTGGAGAAAACCTGCCTCCACTCTGCTTTTTTATAAAAAAACAACTATTTATAAGCGAGCGTTCACAGAATGTTATAGTGTAAGTCATACTCAGGAATTTGTAAACTGAAAGATGAATGGAAAAGTATTTTACCAACTCAAAAACATTGTAATCTGAATTCTGTCTGATTCAGAATAATACTCAGAATATTGCTAACCATTTAAACATTAAGTCAATTAAGTCACACAACTGCTTTTATTTTTAATCAATCCCCAATATGCCATACTGGTCCTCTTTAATAATCACTAGAGCACTAGTGCTTTAATGAGGCAGACTACTGCTGAAAATAGTCCCTGTGCTTATAGCCTGAATTTTCTTACGCAACATATTCGAATAATTCTAACCCACAGACCTTTGATGAAGAAGAAGCTGGAACAAGGCACCACTCTGGTTGTAGATAGGTACGCCTTCTCTGGAGTTGCTTTCACCAGTGCCAAGCCGGTGAGTCTCAGCACATTGAATCTCTGCACCCATCAGTCAGTATCGTCATGTGGGTAACGATGAAGCTAGCCTGGCATGTCCTGTCGTCTCCAGGGGTTCTGTATGGACTGGTGCATGAAACCTGACGTGGGACTGCCAAAGCCGGACCTGGTAATGTTCCTGCAGCTCAGCCCTGGCGAGGCTGCTCTCAGAGGTCAGTTTGGGGGGGAGAGATACGAGACCAGCATCTTCCAAAGAGCAGTGCAACAGAAGTTTGAACACCTGATGAAAGATTCCTCAATAAACTGGCAGGTATGAGTCAGATCTGTGAGGCTTCATCCATCCACTATGTTTTAGTTTGAAAATAATCTCTGTTCACACAAGTGTTTTAGCTCTGTATCGGTTTTAATCCCTTTCCATAATAATACACATGAAAACTCATTGAATGACAATGTATACTGGGCATGTGTGTGTTGTAAACAAGGGATGCATGTGCCATCTGCTGCACATGGGTAATGTGGCAGATTGCCCTGAATAATAGCTCTTCTCCTACTCATGGAAGCAGTTGTATCATTGTTAAATACAGAATTTAAAATACGCCTTTACATCCGTTGCCTAGCAACAAAGCTTTTTGCCGCCATTAGCTCTTTTAAGTGCAATGATTCATGGGATATGTTGGGCTGGGAAGGATCCACCCAATGGAACCTCCATTGCTCAGGGGTGGAAGGACACAGCTTATGTTATTGTTTTCCAAACATCTATTTCTGCTGGTCCAGACTAAAACTCAGCTCATAAAGTTTTCAAACTAAAACGTGTCCCTCAGCTATTTTAAAGTTGAATGTTTTTTGCTGCTCTAAACTCTGTAGTAGTGTGGACACCAGGTATATCCACAGCAGAGTTAATGGCTTTTTAAATGAAATGTAGTGGTGGGTCAAGTGCCAATTTATTCCCAGTTGACTTGTGAGATATGATTAAATTGACCACATTTAATCTTGTAATGTAAATGTTCTGTTGTAGGTAATCGATGCTGCTAAGAGTGTTGAAGATGTGCACAAGGACATCACAACCCACAGCCTCGATACTATCAACACAGCTGAGAACCTGCCACTTGGAGAGCTGTGGAAGTGATCGTGGCTACAGCTGCTGGTCCAGGACCAAGACAAGTCTGTAAGATGCAAGATGTAGTTATTTTTGTAAATGAATACCTGCTATAATAGCTGAATTACTCTTTTGCACATTACACCTTTGCTTAGCTCAATCTTTTACCTGCCATTGCTTGACTGGAAGCAGAGAAGAAATGCCTCAGCTGGGATTCAAATATCATTTAACACCGTCTTGAAATCGAAGAGAGAAACATTTGTGCTGTCAAATATCCGATTGGGATTTTATTTGTTTTTAATCCTCTTACATGTCTATTGTTATTTCACCTGTCTATATATTGTGTTGATTAAATAAATAATCTTCAAATGAACTCGTGTACATGTTCAGACTTGGCAAGGATACTTCGCATGAACAATTATTACAACTTGTCTGAACTGAATTTGGTTTCGTTACAGGCTGTTACAGAATTCAGTTATTAGTGACAAACTGCGGAAGCAATGGGAATCATGAACCGTTGTGTTCTATACAACATAAAACTGTTATGGCAATTTTTTCTTATGGAGTCAGGGGAAGGCACCATATCACTTCAGAATAAACATTTAAAGTGTTAAGACTCAATGCAAACACGTGTATGTGAAGATGTGCATACAGAATTTGTCCTGAGCTCCTGCTACAGCTTCCACCAGGCAGTCTCGATGTTGGATACAGAGTGTAATCAGAGGTTGGAGACTGACTACACCATTGGAGCTGGACTGGCTCAAGAGGTCTCCAAATAATGTTCCTCCCCTCAGGCTTTTCCTTCTGATACAGAGAAGAGGGAATCTCTCGCCTACTGTCAAGAACAGTTCATCATTGTTCGAGTGTTCCTCACAGGGAAAGGATCTCAAACTCTTCGTCTTCTGAGTCAAAGAACCGCTCCAACCTGTCCGAGTCTGAGAAATCTGTGAAGGGAGCGTCAACACAAAAGAAAACAAACAATCATTAAAATTCATTTACAAAAACATTTCTTAGAATATTATGATGGATTTTTTTATCGAACAGAGTGCCAGGTGTAATGATGATGAATGAAATTGCCCCACCCTCATCTTGGTTACTTTTGCTGTTTCAAATCAATACAGGAGGAAAAGAAAGCATCCAAACTTTTTTTCACATAAAAAAACTTGAAATCCTTGATTTTGGTAGTTTTGCATGTCTCCTGCTACATGAACGTTTTTTCTTCAAACGCAGCAACAGGAAGCAGGTGTAAATACCACGGAGGCAGGGCATGCCATGAACCCGGTTTAAGTAATCACCCGTACAGGAATCTTAAAAGTATAAAGCTAACACACCCACAATGAAGGTGGGACAACTTCACATAATCATCACTACAGCATTTTATTGGTTGGAAAATTTTAACTGACTTTGAAAAATATGAGCGCAAGGAAAATCCAAGAGCACATCTGAACGTAAAATCAATAAATCCTGCTCTCAAACTGAAACACCATGCTCTTTAATAAAGACTGCCCTAGAATACATGTTGGGTACTTACCAGGAGTGAGGTTAAGAGCATCCACACTGACCATGTGACAGGGCTGACTGTCTACGAGTTCAAACATGGGCAGGCCCCCTCTTCTGCAGGACAGCTGAAAAGGGGACATTTCATCATCATTTATGCTTCATCACGATAATCATGGTGCTTTATTGATCATGGTGTCATACTGACACACATACCCTTCTTATGCGCATACACCAGTCATCAAACTCGTCCTCTGTTCTGCAGAAGAAACCCTGGCAGACACCAGAAAAAACAATCGGCTATGGAACATCTGAATTACTGTGAGAGGTTTTCTGCCTGCTCACATTCACGATAAACAATGGTCTTTAGTTTGAGACACAAAAGCTCTGCCCCATAAAACCCTCCCTGCCATTCCTACCGCTGCAATGGATGGGTCCAGTTCACAGATGTGCATGCGGCAGGGTGGGTGCTGACAATGGTACGTCTCATCGGGGACCTGGCTGTCTTCACACGGCTCCACTGCAGGCTGTGTGGTGTGTGGGTCTAAGTAGATGAGTTCTTCTCCTGATGGGAAAAACAAGAAAGAAAAACATGGTCAGAAACAGATTGGACCGTACAAAGTAAAGTTAATATGGCGATCATGAGTTGGGTGTTTATTTCACAAACACTGAGACCAGACATACCGACATAACCAATGAAGTAATGGGCACTATTGGGTTTCCCCCCAATAACACCCAGGGACTGAGGCAGCATGAAGCATTGCTGTGGAAAGAGAATAGAGGGTTTTATCTCACCACAGCTTTGGCTGGATTTACCTCAGTGTAAATTCAAGCACCAGTTCTTCCACTCTTACCCATTTTTCTACAAAACACACATATTTAACAAGCTTGGACACCAGACCAGTCAGCAAGCTCATGTCTAAGACTTAACATCACATCTGACCACTTTACGAGGTTTCAAAGTCCCCCTCAGGTGAAACCCTAGTTTTTAAAGTGTCAACATGTACCCCTTGTGCTTTTGATCTTGTGAGATAACAAGCTGAAAATGCAAAAAATTAGCATTAATCTTGAGAAAGGTTTCTGGCAATCGGATGTGCATAAGTCTAATAATTACTCTCTCTTTAGCTCTGATTTAGGCTCCGCCACCTCTACCACCGCCACTGGAAAATATACCTGGATCTTTAGCTGCTAAATCCTGACTTTACAAACAGAGTTTACAGTTTGTTGCAGTTAGCGCACAGTGGATTTGTAGAGATTTGTCTTTGTTAAAAACATCTACCTGCTGAGGCTGATGCTACAAGAGCACTGACACTGAACCAGAAAAGTAAAAGCTGCAGGCTGGTAAACCAGAACAAACCAGAACAATTAGTAAAGCCTAATTAAAATGAAATACAGCTCAGGTCAGATGCCAATTCTCAGTGGACTTCATGAATGTGTTTATATAGCTCTTTTAACTGCTCAAAGACCTTTAAAATTGGTTAAAGCAGAGAAAAGCAAATCACTAGAAATACTTCAACAAATGTATCAAACATTAAAGCTGTTGTGAAGAGGTGGATGCTGAGTCATGTTTTGAAGGTAGACAGGTCAATGCAGTCTCTGATTTGTTCTAGTAGGAGGAGGCAGCTATGTTGAAAGGTTTTGTTGTGTCAGTTTTTTAATTACACCTCAAAAAATGAATCATCATTTAGAGACTGGTTAACAAAACCATAATTTGAGCTAATCACAAACGAGAAGTTGTGGCAGGAAGTGGCTGACCACATTTTCTAAAACTTGGAGTGCATGCCCTGTGTCTGTGTACCAACCACAGTTACGCAATTAGACATGTCCAAAGTATTATTGTTGTGTAATAACGTACATGGACTATTTTTAGTTTTAATGAGTAGTGGATATACACACTGACCCTTCTCACCTTAAGGGTTTCAATATAGGCCTCGTTTATATCACTCAGGCCCAGCCTGAGGGGGATGAGCAGGACCAGGGGTCTCCACAGAGCCGTTTCCTCCTCAGCCAGCGCACACGCACCCTCGAGGCAGCCATTCAGATCCCCCACTGCCTCGGCCTCTCCACAGGCCGCCGCATCCAACCAGGGCATACAGAGCCGCTCTGCGCGATGAAAACAAACTCACTGAACCACAGACTTATTGAAATGGTACTTTTCTGCACTGAAGCAGATGTGCACAAGGTCATGCAGAAAACCCAAGACAGAGAGGGATGAGACAGACACTGAACACTCAACTATGTTAAGTTTTCTAAAACTTACATTTCCTTATGAACATTCAATCTGAGCACAATCCGTACTTTAACCCGGTGCTCAATTATTTGACATTTGAACTGCGTATGCTAATGGGTGATTACAGGGACACACATAGTAGTAACACAGCAGCACTCACTGATCTCCTCGATGACCACAGTGTTGTCCATCGCCACGTGTACAACTAATCTGCTCCATGTATCAAACACTGCCAGTTTCCTGAGAGCAACACAGCACAGAGACAGTCACACTTTGGTTAAAATGACACTTATTCATTTTTTCTTAACCTAATCACAGTAAAGAATCATATCTTTGGTTTAATTGTTTGACACAGTGTAGAGCAATACATGGTGAGGGTGGAAAAAAGAAACAAGGCTGTAAAGTATGATGCAATAACGACTGAGTATCTCACAATGTGCAAATAACACTGATATGTTGTACAGAGGAATTTTTCATTGACGTTTATTCATCTGACACTTAAGTCCACAGTGTTCACTCTGTTCTGTCCCTTCACAGCCTTCTGGGAAAACATCATGCTTTTTGAGATTCAGTGAAACTTTTCCAATTTTCTAGTTATCAAAGCATTTGTTATATTATTATATGTGAAAATGAAAATATACAATTATAAAATTAAATTAAACAATGTTTAAGTGATTATTCAAAAATCTGAGCAAAACGGCTGGTTTCTGATTAATTGTATCATGTAGAATTTTTGACTACGAGTAATGTTTTGAAATCCTGCTGCCAGATTCACACTATGAAGCAGATTGACAGGTGGTAGTTTAAATTAGAGGATGGATTATCGACCTAGTCATATTGTGTCAGACCGGTTTCTGACAGAAATTCATGAATTGCGAAGAAAAAGGACATTGAATTTAGTGTGTTCAAACTATATACCGGCAGCCTATAGAGCCTATAAAAACAATGTCTTTTGACAGTCATTAACAAGGAGTTCACGTGTGTACTACTACTCAGGCCAGTTGTGACATCAACTGAATAACAGGGTCACACAAGATAATGCAGAAAAGTTTTTTTTTTTCTTAATTCAAGTTCTACATATCTGATTGTATTTGTGCTTTCATTTTTATAATTATTTATAATGAAGTTTATTGTTAAACTGCAAAATATCAAGCCTCGATTCATTTCTTCGTCATAAGGGTTTAATAGTGACATTTTAGGAATTATTGCCAATATATTTAAACGAATATATGGGTATTGGATATTTTTTACTCTCGGTATCAGTATTCACATTGGCCTTTAAAAATCCATATAGTACTATAGTATATAAACATTTGGGGGTTCACATGGCACCTTCATTATCAGTAGTCACATAAAACACCCAACTTTGTAATCTTATTCTGTTTTTATGTTGTATGTTGTGGTGCACTATGCCCCGTGAGAAACACCATTTTGTTCAGCTGTATACTTAGTATATGGATGAAGGACAATAAAAGTTAACTTAAACTTGAATAGGTAACAGGACTTCTATTTGTGTACATTAAGTATCTTAAGAGTAGATTCAATCTCGAGGTAATAAAGAAAAAAATACCAATAATTCAAAGACAAATTACGCAAAATACCAATAATACACATATATGGAAACATGAGGATTTGTCTTTTTTATATCACTGCAAATTGATCATCTCTGGATTTTGGAAAGGGCTAAAGCAAAGCAACTTATGACATTTCACATTTCTGCTAAAAACAAATATGGCAGTTTTTGATGATAAAACATTAGGTTTGAATTTTTCTTTGTTTTACAGTACTTACTTTAGAACCTGGGCGACTGTGTTTGGTCCATACCACTGGCCTATTGGCTTCCCCTCTCCAACCCCCATTTGGGCTGCAGCAGAACAAAACAGCAACTTAATGCAAACAGCTTCAGGACTGAACTCTTAATCTAACTGAAAGGATCAAACAGTCACTACTGACCAATTTGATGGATGGAATAATAGCTGTCCTTTTTGTCAATGAAGGCATTGAGAATACTGATGTACTCTTCTCTTTGTTTCTCATCTCTGGTCCATCTCCAGTCTGACAATACAAAAAATCAACAGTTATCAAGCCTGTTTGAAACCGGTTCTGTGTTGCTCCAGTTTACAATCTATAGAAGAGCTCTTAGTGTCACACAGGGACAAAATCTGCTCTATCTATAGAACACACACATCTATATCTTTACTGGTGTATTTTTAAAGTTGTCTTACTTCTGCCTAAATGTCTGCATAACAAGGCCTCGCCGAGGATCATCTGGCCGCATCGTAACATACACCCCCATCCTGTATCTGACGTCGGTCCTGTCCCACCTGTAAAACATTCAAGAACCCTCCATGAAAAAGAGTCTAATCTCAAGCTGAGGAGCTCAACTTTGACGCACACTCGTTTTCCACTCACCAATCGGCGGGAAGTTTTTTCTGTATGTGAACCACAGTCGTGAAGTGACATCTGATAAAATCTCATCTTTCTCTGCAGGAGGAGCAGAAATCACCATCTTACAATTCAAACCAACCCCCCCCACATACTCTCAAAATCCTAAAGTACCTACCTGTGAGTGCATTGTATTCTTTGCCCAAGATCCACACAGGCTCTGAGGTCTCAGGAAAATCTTCAAACTCTCCAAAGCGAAGTGTGTCATATGTCAAGGTTGCTGCAAAAGAGAATGACTGCATGTCAACTGTCAGTCTGGGAAAAATAACAATGGAGAGACAGCTAGTGCTCATATTGTTGATCACTAACAACTTGAAGCAGCTGATATAAGTGAAGCTATCTATCAGGTTGTAAAGATGGAGTATCCATTAGTAGCTTGAGAAGAATTCCAGGAAGGATGTTCTATATATACACATGTGTGCATCTGCCTAAACAGTATCTAGCATTTTATACCCATGCTACTTTAGATTAACCTGGGTCTCATTTTATATGCACGAGAGCAATCGAAGGAGGAATCTTATCCTGTCGGATAACATCAAGACTCCAGTTTCAATTTCCTGCCTAAAGCATTCTCATAAGGTCATACGGAAATAAACATACCTTAAAAACAAGCTCAGCAATTGTACTAAAAAAAGGCGACTCCCGGAATTAAATACTGTACGTCCATAACTTTACAGGACATGAGAGAAACCTTCTTTTAAAAGAAAGGTGAAATTTGTGTTAGCAGAGGCCAAGATATTCTGGAATTTACTCCCTAACATAGATGGAGCTAAAAAATGCTGACTCAGAAGTTAAATTTATAATTCAGGCTCTCAGTGAAAATTTGTAGTGTCAGAGCACAGAGGTTATCTCTGTGATTGCATGACTCCCAGATCATCAATTTTCTAATACCTCAGAACCTCCACACCTACAGAAGACATTTTAAAAAACTAAGCCTGGACTGAAAAGTCATGAGTCACAACAAGTAAACTGAACTTGATGTGTGACATTAGTGTAATTCCCCTTAATAACAAAGGATGCATAACTAATGAGTACAACTCACATAACAATCCCATATATCACACATCTAAGTAGCTGAAAAGTCCCTATTGTGCAATAAGCTGGTAATAAGTGAGAAAATGTCTATATAACAAGGTCATTTTTAAGAAAGGCAATCAGTATGTCTTTGAATGCTGTTAAAAGGTACAGTTAACCTCTGTTTGATAACTGTGCTTTTAAAAACTCAGACCGTCCAGCATCAACCAAAGTATCCAACAGTCTCGCAGATGCAGATGTGCAGGTGCAGAAATGTGGGTTTGTTTTGCATTAATGGAAATAATTGCAGGAGGCAGAGACAGCTCCTAGGAGATGTTTCAGCCTCTTTAGTGTGGCTGTTTTTTGGTCTAATAAGTTTGCTGAGGGAAACTTCGCTGAAGATCTGGGTCATCTGGTTCATTTTCAGCTGTGGGGAAGTGGGGGTAAATGTCATGGTTTGTTTATCTAACTAAAAAAAAAAAAAAAATCTGAATTGTAAACTTCCATGACACTTTCTGTTTCCTGTTCTTAAGAAAAACACAACACATGTGCAGCAATAATTGTCCATTGCACATCATAACACATTACGCAGTTTATTGACCAATATATTTAAAACAAAAGTATTCCAGCAGGAAAAACATTACAGCCTCCTATACAAGAGCCCCCGCTACTTTTGGAGCTAGATTTCAGACTAATGACTAGTTAATCTGGGTCAGATTGTAAATCCACAGGAAATAAATGCAAGTCTGTGTGAAGTCCACAAAAGTGACATAGATCAACATGTCTGTGTGTGAATAATAAGCAATCAAAAACAATAATAATAATACCGTTTCCTTGTTCCTCTTAAGAAAGACAAACACTCTCTGGCGCTTGTTATTACACTGTTGTGTAGTTATGTGGTTGACATGCTAGCACACCACCTGTCAGATTCTCAGATCAGACATGTTTACGGAGAGGAGGGATTTAAGAAGCAAATATTATTATGGACTCTGCTCACTTTCAGTTTTATTAGGAACCTCCCTGAGTGCTGTTTCATACCACAGAGCAACTCTCATGGCTAGCAGCGTTGCTAACAGTAAAGTAGCATTCCGTGTGAGATGGTGACAGAGCATCGGGTGTTCATCTTGGGCGTATCATGACGTTAGCATCCAGACGGACCAAAGACAGGAGACGGACCAGAAGGAGCGAGACGTGACACCAGCGCATGACACGGACACTCGCTTGAACGTGGGGACAGCACAGGAAGTCACGCGCCTCTACGGTGAGCTGTCACCGCGGGGGAACCAACACATTTAGCCTTAGCAGCAGGCTAACGATAGTTAGCAGTTAGCTTTAGTCATCACTTTAGCACGCTAACGTCACCGAGGCTACAAAGAAGCGAGGCTCTGTGTTGGACTGGCGGCGGGAGACGGTAATGCCGCCATGACAAGGCAGGAGAAGAGTTCCCAGGTATGAGACTACGACGGGGAGCTTGTTCTGGGGGTCGACTGACTTGCTAACGGAGAGAAAAACAATGTTATTTAGCTGGAGACGCTCTCACCTGCATCCATCCCGACGGTCGTCACCCTAACTTGTTTGTTGTTTTCTGCTCCTCGACACGCTGGACCAATGGGAGGAGAGTACCGCTGAGGAAGTCAGGAAGAGGCGGAGCGTCTCCCGAGACATCCAATAAGAAGAGGAGGGGGGGGGGGTTATTCCCCCCGGACCAATCAGTGGAGGCTGACGTTGAAAACAGTTGGTGGTGCGTTCAAATACACATGCTGGTCGATATCTGACCATAAAACAATCATTACAACATTTTATTATAATTATGATGTTTTACATGTTTGTATGAGTCTTAATTTAGTATAAGTTTTTTTTATAAATTATATTGTGTCATTTTCATTCAGAATTGGCTTTAAAAAATGCCAGCCCCTGCCCCTACAAATTGAAATTGGGAAATTGAATAAACTTTATATCATTAACATGGACAAATTTAAAAATCTTCCTCTGAAATAATATATATGTCTATATAGAATCCAATCTTAAAACCTCATCAGTAGACCAATATAAATATAATTGTTATCTTGTTAATTATTCCTAAAAAAAAACTAATACAACCCACCCTCAGGGACTGCTCCTGGAAAAAACTTGTCATTCTGTCTTCTGTATATAGTCATTTGCTGATGCTGCTACTATTGCTATTATTGTTGTTTGTTATACTATATACTGTGTGTGTTAATACTATATTTCTATATATTCTTACACACACACACACACACACACATATATATCTCTTGGCGAGAGTAGACTCTTACAATTTTAGTGTACTTGAGTATCATGGCAATAGAGATCTTTGAATCTTGACTCACTTGACTAACACCATCAACAATGTCCTAATTCATTCTACTATATTGTTTCACCATGCTCATACAAAGCCTTCCTTGTTAAATCCCCCTGCCAATCTGTGTTTAGTGGTTCTGATTCACCCACCAGGCTGGACATACACCACTGTTCCTCTTTGTATTGCTGCAGTTTAGAAATAAAAAAACTCAATGCTCAACAATAATGAATGCATGCACTGAAAATCAGACAAAGCCTGCATGAGGGAGACACACAAAAGTAATTTGTACAAGGAAAAAGGATTATCCCTGATTTAAACTGGTAAATTGGCATTCAGACATAATAATGAAAACATGCTC